GAAAAAGACCGCTGAATTCTTCGAGAAATGGCACATCAAGCGAATACTCTCCACGCCATATCATCCCGCAAGCAACAGTCAGGCGGAATACTCCAACAAAATAATACTGAACATCATGAAGAAGAAGCTTGAGGACGCTAAGGGACTGTGACCAGAAATGCTACCGAAAGTGCTATGGACATACCGCACCATGCCAAAAACAAGCACAGGAGAAACGTCATATTCACTAGTCTACGGGATTGCTGCAATGATACCAGTCGATGTTGGAGAGCCAATTTTAAGATACTCCAACGAAAGCGGATCAAGTAACGATGAAAGCAGAAAGCAAGACCTCGACGAAACAAATGAACGAAGAGATATGGCCTATGTAGGAATGATAGCTCAAAAACAGCAAGCAGAACGGTACTACAACAAAAAAGCCAAAGTCAGACCACCCAAGGTAGGGGATTATGTACTCAAAGCCAGAACACAAGCGATAAAAGACCCACAAGAAGGCAAAATGGGAACCAATTGGGATGGACCATACAAAATCACGGCAACAGCAAAACAAGGGCCATTCCAACTAGAAACAATGGATAGAAAGCTACTACCAAACAATTGGAATGTCGCCCACCTCAAATACTTCAACTTCTGAAGATGGACGTCCTCCAAGTCATACTCTTTTTCCCTCACCCGAGTTTTGTCCCAATTGGGTTTTCTCGGGGAGGTTTTTAATGAGGCGACGGAAGGGGCTTCTCGGAGTTTAGGTATTTAATTCATCGCGCCGCCTATCGACGACCTCTCTAGGCCGAGCAATGAAGGGACTAGATAGACTGGGACTCCTCGAATGTATGAACGGACCAAAGAGAAATGTAATATTCTCCAATGAATAAACAAAGCAGTATTTCATATGTCTCCACCAAATCTGCACATCACGCCAACGTAAAGGCAATATACATTCGACCTCGTTCGAATCGTTCTACATTCGACCTCGCTCGAATCAACTTACATGCGACCTCGTTCGAATTAATTTACAATCGACCTCATTTATATCGTTCGACGTTCGACCTCGTTCGAATCATTCTACATTCGACCTCGCTCGAATTAACTCACATTCGACCTCGCTCGAATTAATTTACATCGACCTCATTCTAATTAATTTACATTCGACCTCATTCGGATCATTCTACATTCGACCTCGCTCGAATTAACTTACATTAGACCTCGTTCAAATTAACTTACATTCGACCTCATTCGAATCGTTCTACATTCGACTTTGTTCGATTCGTTCTACATTCGACCTTGCTCGAATTAACTTATATTCGACCTCGCTCTAATTAACTTACATTCGACCTTGATCTAATTAACTTACATTCGACCTCGCTGGAATTAACTTACATTCGACCTCGTTCGAATCATTCTACGTTCGACCTCGCTCGAAATAACTTATATTCGACCTCGCTCGAATTAACTTACATTCGATCTCGATCGAATCTTTCCACATTCAACCTCACTCGAATTAACTTACATTCAACCTCGTTCGAGTTAACTTACATTCGACCTCGTTCGAATCATTCTACATTCGACACCGTTCGAATCGTTCTACATTCGACATCGTTCGAATCGTTCTACATTCAACATCGCTCAAATCGTTCTACATTCGACCTCGTTCGAATCGAATCGAAAGTCATGAACTTTCTCGCAAAAGAACTCACAACAAAAAAAAAGAGAAAGAAAAGCTAGAAATACACAACAAAAGACAATTGTTTCATTTCAATCATTCCATTCCAAAACATTTTTACAAAAGGCTGGAAAGACGCCCCCACAAAAAAGAAAAAATCAAGTACAAAGGCTTCACGCAATATCATCCCCCCCATCACTAACGTCACCGACATACTCATCGTCGTACCAAGGGTCGGAGGAAAGCCTATCCAAGGCGTCTTCATAGTCATCTCCTCCGGGCGTACCAGGATCATAACCACAAGCGTCACGAGCTGCACGCGCCTTAACACGAACATCCTCAAATTCAGCCTCAAAAATCTTCCCAGCCGTCTTCAGAGACCTATATATGTCAAGTTGGGCCTCGGCATGAACCCATATTTCATACAACTCCCATGACACATCGGGGGTGACAGAAGTATCAGAAGTGGATGGTTGATCCTGCATCTGCGCCTTCTCGGCCCTTAAGGCGACAACCTGCTCATTCAGCTGAGACAGCTCCGCCTCCAAACCCCCAATCCTCTCCTCAAATCTCGCTTCCTTGAGCGCTGAAGTTTCTTCCTCAGTAACTCACTCAGACCTGCAAACATGAAGGGTGTCCCCTAGGGCTGCCGCCTCTGCCACATCGGTCATCCTTGCTTTCTTGGCTCGACCCAACTCTTCAACCCTGGTGCTCAACTCATCCCGCAAGTTGACGAACCTTGTTTCACTCCGCTCGAGCTCAACCCTTAAAGATGCCACCTGCGCTTGAAGGTCAGTATTTTCGGTCGTCACTCCCTTGATCACCTCGAGCTTATCCTCCTTAGCCTTCAATGCCCCATCAAGCACGCTACGTCTGCCGATGGCCCTCATAAGCTCTTCGTCTTTCTATCTCAACTCCTCATCTTTCTTCTTGAGCCCATCATAAAGCGTCTGGAACTGACCGTCCTGGTTAAGAAAGCCAACTAGCATTCCGTGCTTAGAACCGAACTCTCTGTACTTGGCCACCATCTTCTTGAAGAGGGTCGTCCTTCGCTCTTCTCGCCGATCACGCTCAATCTCCATGATAAAGTTCTGACATGCAAAAGAAGACAGGTCAGCAGAAGCAAATTGCACATACGAAACGAACTAACCTAACATCGGAAAAGCAAACTCACTCGCAAGGCCATGCCAAATATGCCCAACGACAAATCCGCATCCCTCAACGTCTGCAACGTCCTATTCTCAGAATCCGCACACAGAGGAGCGAAGGCCGGCACCACCCATTCTGAGTAGGCCAAGAGATTGTAATCCACAGGAATGACTATGTGTCGATCAGGCCCCTACGTCCTTATCTCCACTCGAGTGAACCTCTCCTCAAAAGCCCGCACCTCCTCGGGGTCAATATCGGAGCCCAACCCATCATCTTCTATGAGGATGATTTTATCCCTTCCGTCCGTTGATGATGAGCCGACCCCGGCTACTCGTGCAGGTTCCCCTGTGACATAGGTCCCTTCGACCTCTAACGGCCCTCTCTCCGTGACCGTAGCCAGTGTAGGAGCAGCCTCAATGCCTAGTAAAGGCGCCGCCTCAGCATCCAAATCAATGGGCCTTTCCAACTCGGTATCAGCAACATCAAGCCTTCCAGTCTCCACCCTCCGCCTTTTCCTCGGTAAATGCATCCCCTCGTCATGAGACGACTCATCAATTAGGTGCAGGACGCTGTGATCAGAGATCTCAGGCAACGTGACGGCTACCGGTGAGGCAGAATCACCCAACGGCGGAGCTAAAGTTTGATTCTCTCGTACGGACTCAGCTAGTACAAATTGCATTCCAGCTGATGCGATTGCCTGGGGGAACACGGGCACTGGAGCCTTCATCTTCTTGGAAGCTCGCCGACCTGGCGTAAAAAGAAAATCATGTTTAACATAAATGCCGACAAGACAGTAGCAAGCTATAACGAAAGCGAAAGGGTCACAGAAAAGGAAATCAGACTCACTAGTCAAAGACTTGGGACCGAACCGCCTGTTAAATGACAGCCAATCACGAATCCCCACAGTATGAGGGAAGACTCGAGTCATCCAGTCTTCGATGTCAGGAACCGAAGGAGGTGGACGTTTACCAGCTGAAAGTAGAAAGACATGAGCAAGTTAGAAACAAAAGATGAGGGATAAACAAAACACGTGACGAACGGTAAAAGGCCCTTGCGATTGAAAGTCCACTGCTCAGGGAACCCGGCTAGGTCCGCCACTACGTGCTCGGTCCTGACGAAGAAGTAGTTGCACCAGAACCAGCGGTTCGCCTTATCATCCATCCCCGTCACCAATCCTTTAGTCCCACTGTGGCGGAGATAAATCAGCGTGCCTTTGTAGAAACTAGGCGTGAAGAGTTGCAACAAATGACAAATGGAGACTTCGCAATCGGCCAACTCTGCGAACTTCGCCAGCATCAAGGACTCCCAAGAGGACGACCTCAATAAGCGGGGGACTAACTGTATGGGTCAAAATTATGTCTAGTTTAGCAAATGCAGACGGACAAACTGACGCCGAGGTCGAAACCAAGCGCGATCCAATGGCGAGGAGCCGCTCAAAGGGAGAGACCAGTGTCGAGGTCGAGCAGAGGGTAAACGGTTGCAACTATTGGAATGTTTCTAGGATTGTGAATAAGAATATTCTACTGAATATTCCCCCATATTGTACTTTTTTAGGGTTTTCTAGGGATGTCCCTTATAAATAGGAAGAGAGAGGAAACAAAAAAGGGATCGGAACTTTTGTGGAAGAACATCCTGTAAAGAGTTGACTATCAGAAATATATAAAAAAGCTGGTTTTGTCTCTCTTGTTTGGTTCCATCACATAATATTGCTCTTTAGCTCACAAGTCCAAGAACACATAGTCCACTTCATTTGTCTGCTGTCACACGTTGTAGTCGGAGGAAGGAATCATTCGTCTCATCCAACATTTGGGTGACAAATCCTTTCTTATTACATTTAATGCTATTTATCACATTTATTGCATGTTTTCATCCTCGTATTAATTAATAGTCATTGAGCATTAACTCAGTATTTGTTAACTTGGATGCGGACCTATACCTTCTAAGTTGATTAATTTCGGATCTAGAATTTATTACTTTTAATTTGGATTTACCCCTTATCTAATTGGTTTAACCAAAAGGGTTAAAACTTTTGGTCAAACACCATATATAGTTAAACCATTGAAAATCTCCATTTATTTCCAATTCCCCCAGTATGTGTATTTTAGATTGTTCAATGTCTTAATCGTCTATTTCAGTGTATCATAATTGTCTTGTGAGGAGACGTTTGTTTTCATTACATAAGCACAGTATCTTTACTTTGCGTCCATGAAAATATAATATGCTTTTTTATGCAACAAGATATTAGGGTAATACAATGGTAACGCATCAGCCTAGCTAGAAGAAGAAAATAATAGTGTGCATCTTGATTCTTGAGAGTAATATTTCTTTCCGTAACCTTCAGCGTACGGTTATGTCCTCGACTTGAATGGTTTTTATATGGGATAAATTATACGTCGTACGCCTGCATAAAGAGGAGCTTGATCAATGCTTACTTTAAATTATTTATTTAAATTAAAAAAAAAAAAAGGCACAAAAGAATAAGTAGATTCAAAGTTGAAGTTTGACGCATCTCATGAATTGACAGTTGATACGTTAAAGTATAGTGCCACTAAGAGCTTCCATGACTTGATTAAAAGAAAAAAAAGCCAAAGTCTATGTCAAGACAAACTCTATGCTAGTTTTAGAATCACAAAGATTTCAAAGTAAGGAATAAAATATTGAGTTAGATAATGGTCGGGTACGGAGTATCTACATGAAAAGAAGTGGAGGCTTTTATATATTTTGCATGCGAATCTCTGAACCGCTACCTATATTTAGATAGTATTGGACCCTAGGAATGTTATTCAAAAAGACAAGGGGGATTAGATCTCATGTGGACTCAAGGACAAGATAAGAAGTTGAATGGAATGTGGCCAGGCATTACCTTTATATTTTTAATACTAATGATTCGGAGTAACTGAAGCTAATTTTAAATGAAGTAATCCAATTGGATTATGCTTTTTACCAGCATTGTGTTTTGCTAGTATATTCACCTATTCAGAGTAACATAACATAATTATATGTACACATAGTTCGAGTTAGGATTGTTACCTGCTGCAAGTGGTTTCTTGATTAGCTTTAGCGAGAGTTTCCGCCTGACCTGTATTTTGGGAATGGGACGTCACCGGACTCAATGTGCTTGAGATCTTCTATAAGGATAGCATAGTGTTGCTTAACATCTTCAACTGATTTTCCTCCACCGACATATTTAGCAATGTTTTGCCAACGATCAGGTGTGTCCTTGTCATAGACAGCAAGTGCCTGCTCAAATTTCTTGTTTTCTTTTGGGGTCCAAGCAGATAGCGAATTTGATGCCATTTTTTGATATTTAAACTATGTTTGACTAGTGACAAATGCCTTTGATACAGCGAAGATGATGAATGACTAAGTACTGAAACTGAAGTATCCTCGAGCAAATCTTGAAAACAATGAAATAAATTGGAATGAAGAATGAGTGAAGTCAGTGAGGCTTGTGTATTGAGATGTTGCTGAGGGAGCTCTATATAACAGAGGGAAAAGATGGTGGGGTCTGCCAGTTGGAGAATAAATTTTAGCAAATGGAAGAATCAAAGGGGTGACCCGTCCCCTTTAGAAACCACAAGTAGAACAAATTAAATGCTGAAAGAGGAGAATCAGTATTCAAGTACTTGCATGCCTGGCGTCGTTGTTATTTATTCATTCTCTCTTGGTCTATAACATTTGTACTGGAATATTATTTAACATTGAAATGACTCAGGAACTAGCTAGGGAATCAATAAAGAAGAAGATGAGGATTAAAAAAATAAACCAGGGTAGTTTTAGATGCTAAGTATTGTTTATTAGTGATAGATGGGGTGTGGAAATGGATTTATTCCTGTACGATACTATTATATTCACCAAAACTTGATGATCTCATTCCTTTTTTTTTAATCCAACAAGAAGTTTCTTTCTTTTATACATAGCTAACTTAGCTTGTTTCTACTGATCGTATTCCTAACTGGCAGTTCATATGATAATATATTCCAGATTAATAGGAACTCATGATTTTTGGCAGGGTAATCCAGCTTATGTGCTCCCTGAAACTGGAAGAGATTCTAAGAGCCCGTTTGGATTGGCTTAAAAAAAGTGGCTTTTCAGCAGAAATAACTTTTAAGCCAAAAAGCAATAAGTTGGATTGTCCAGCTTATTGCTTTTGGCTTGTTTTAAGCAGTTTTTAACTTATTTTAAGCACTTTTCTGACTTCCCCAAACACTGAAAAAAGCTAAAAAGAGCTTAAAAGCTGATTTGTACAGCTTAAAAGCCAATCCAAACACCCTCTAAGTCAACGATGGGGTGTTACGTTTTTCCATTTATAAATCTAATTCTTGTCAAAATTGTCTGGTCACTTGTTAGTGGCTGCTCTTAAAATGGAATCATCATTAGGGTGACTGCTCTTTTGCTTTAACAGATCTGGCATCCAGTTCTGCTTTTAAAAAGTTAAAATTAACTTCCGATAGCCCAAAATAGATAGAAAATTATAATATGAAAACTAATTGGTAGTGCACTAATGAGTCCTTGTATTTTTTGCTTCAGTGTTAGCTGAAAGAACGTTCACCTTCCTATGATATGGTTCCTCAAAGTTGCAATGTTGAATATCTGAAAAGATGAGAAAGCAAAGGAACATGTCTCCACTACTATACATTCACAAGTTTGAGGAAGTAATATATCAATAGGTCTTTTTGTCTTGTCATTTGTCAAGATGAATTTATTCGATCTCTCTGAGGAACCTTTAATTATTGATGAGTGGCTAATCTTTGTAGTTAATGTTTCTGTTAGCTATACCATCATTTCTCATTTAGAAGAAATATGAGCTTCAAGTTAATATTTTTTTTGTGTGCTGTGCAGCTCTAATTATCCTAGGAAACCAACGGAAAAGGATTAGTAGTAGTAATATGTATCCTAATTATAAACTGTTGTGCATTCCTTATGCTGCACCTTGTCGTGGACTCGTGGCTCATTAATGAAGGACCACATGACAGACTAATTAGTACATGTGTATAAGTTAATGAGGATCATCAGAAAGGGCTCATGGTCCAATTTTGGTGGTTTAAGGTTACTTCAGGCATCAAACTAGCTGTTTTCCTTCTTAAATTTGTTTTCCTAAACTAACCTGAAGCTGAAGGGATATAGGCTAAAAGCTTCTTTGCGTTTGCATAAGCGACACGTAGCTTCACTTTTTACTCTCATGTCTGTTTTAGTATTGCTCTCAGCTATAGGAAAAAGGATATCAAATACTAGTAGGACTGACAAATTTTTATCGTAGCTCTATGATAAACAGAGCTTAGCTTCTTAATGAAAGTTATCCCCGATCGAAGTTCGAAGAAGGGAGCATGTTCTTGTAATGCCAACTATCGTCTGTTGCTGCACGGCCATTGAAGTTCAAATTTCAACTTCTAGTTTAGTAAATTAAAGCCAATTCAACCTTAGCCATGACGCGTTCTTCTGAGCTCATTCCATAATATTCTGATTGCCAGTTCATTTTCTTCCCTATCATGAATTTCTAAGATTCTAAAAATATTTCTAAAGCTGCTCTATTATTCTATTGTAATTACACATGTGCATATCTTAAATTGGTGGATTTACCCGTGAGACAGGTTTGAATAGTGTGGATGTTCATTTACATTGATGAAAAGGGCAGGAAAAATGAATAATTATTTGCTATTTCTTTTTTTTTTTTTTAATCAAAGCTTCCCATAGGGGAATATATTGATAAGTCAAAAGGAACATAGAGGGGTGTAAGCCTGACCTCTCAAAACAAAGATGGAATGGACATATTCGTTTAACCAAAAATAGTTTTCTCAGTCAAAGTCAATATTTAGAAGAAAACGGATTACGATAATCAAGATTTATTTCACTTTCCTGATAATTTTAGAAATAATCGATCGAAAAATGGAATTGATTGACCAAGAAAAATTAAGGAAATGAACTGATAATCACAATTTGAAGTCAAGACTTGAGACTTGTAGAGTAAGCAAAGAAAATAGTATGTATCAATAATAATCATACTACAAATGAGATTTCCGTCCTTATATAGGAGCTTACAATCATAACGGTTCCCACACTTTATTTGGGTTTACTAATAATATTTAATTGTATAGAGAAATTTTACTTTGTGTCTGACATACCACGTCATAGTTGAATGAGGCCCCCCAATGTATGACATTTGGACTAGTGAGAAATTTTACTTTGTGTCTGACATACCACGTCATAGTTGAATGAGGCCCCTCAATGTATGACATTCGGACTAGTGAGAAATTTTACTTTGTGTCTGCCATACCACGTCATAGTTGTATGAGGCCCCTCAATGTATGGCATTTGGACTAGTGGGCCTACTGTCACCACCATTTCAGTAAAAATTGCACGGGGCGCCCTATTTGGTCGCCCCCATTTAACCTATACCCATTTTTTTAAAAGTTTTAACTTGTACCCACTTTTTAAACAACTTCAGCCCCCTTTCTCCTCCTCCTTCTCCTCCTTCGTTTTCTTTCCTTTTTTTTCTTCTTTCTTCTGCTGCTGTTGGTGCTGCTATGAAACTTCAGTTCATGGGATGATTGCCATAAATATGTTTATCATATTATTTAAAAATAAATTATAAATAATTACGTAGTTAGTAGATATAATTTGTGAATATTTTCACCGTACGTAAGTTAGTAGACAATGATAATTCTGTTCTTTTCACGTTTATTATTTCCAAAATTTATGATGTAGATACTGTTGCAATCTGATTGTTTATCTAGTATGTTAGAAAGCTTTTTCAAAAACTTCAGTTATATAGTGACTAGTAAATTTTAACAAATTAAGTAAATAACTTCAGCTATCTTCTGTCTAGTAAGTTTTGGAAAAGCTTTATGGCAAAACTAATGAATCCGGGACAAAAAAACTTCAGCTTTTAGTGCTAAAGTTTTTACAAATGAACTAAATAACTTCAGCAACTTCTGCTGAAGTTTTTGAAAAAGCTTATCCAGGACAAAAAAACTTCAGCTTATTTAGTGCTGAAATTTTTATAAATGAACTAAATAACTTCAGCATCTTTTGCTGAAATTTTTGAAAAAGCTTAATGACAAAACTAATGAATCCAGGACAAAAAAACTTCAGCTTATTTATTGCAATTACAAACAAAAACTTCAGCAAATAGAGAACAAAACTTCAGCTACTATGCTTAAGTTCAGCAATTACAAACAAAAACTTCAGCACACTTGCTACTTCAGGCCCGTCTACTAAAATGCTGAAGTTTTGCGTGATTGCCTTTGCTACTTCAGCCCCGTATGTTGAAGTTACGCGAAAAAGTGGGTACGCTTGTAATTTTTTTTGTAAAACGAACACAAGTTAAAACGTAATCCAAAAAGCGGGTATAGATGCAAATCAACATCTTTTTTCCTTTCGTGGTCTTTTTGCTTCGTCGCCTCTCGTTTGCTCATGTGCTGGTTTGGAGCTTTATGTTAATCTTTTCTTCCTGTTTTACTTCTCCATTTCTTCAAATCCATTTTAAAATATTTGTTCAACTATTTGCAAATGTTCTGCTTCTAGGTCTGTAGATTACTTTGTTCTGATGAAAAATGATTTTCTTTTCACGGGTTTTTATAATCACCGCAGAAAGGGCCGAAAAATTCATGATGAAGCAACAATAGCGACGAAATAACGTTGAATAAGGGGTATGAAATCTCTTTGGAGTTATAATTAATCTTTTTTCTGTTATTCATAGACGGAATCCCTACTTCTATTTTATTATTCTTTTCCAAATACTGAAAACAATTAAAGGATATAATTTTGTGGACATAATTTTCAAGTTTTATCCTCTATTAAACCAGGAAAATAATTTGATATAAAATCATGACTGTTGTATCCTACAACTGCTACTTTTGAAGGGGAAAGTTAAAGCTTTCTATTTACAGAGCGTCTAAGAGGGATTGAGGGAGAAGAGAATATTTCAAAATGGTGCTGACAAGGACCCCACAGCCCAAATGTCACATGTTGAGTGGCCTCATACAACTATGACGTGGTATGTTAGACACAAAATAAAATTTCTCAATTGTATTGATTGTCTGTTTCCATACGTATCCATAACTAGTACAACTATGACTAAAGATTCCTTGTAATTGTTCCGATTTCCCTTCCTTATTTAATTCTGGTTTGTGTATCTTCCCTTCTTTACGTCCTACATTCATTTCATTCCCGTTTCTCTTTTGATAATTGTATACGGTAGAAATCGACGATTCGATTCCACGAGCATCAGGGCATCTCGAGGGTTTCCTGTGATCGACCCCGAGAATTCTCGGTGGTCGACTTCGAGATAGTATAAGTACTGACCGGCCCCGAGGCAATGTGAATTAGTGGTCTCGGTGGACCAAGGTGAAGTTCCCAAGGCGCGTACATATAGCTGGGCTAGTCGGAAAAGCGAATCAAGGCATTAAATGGCTGTACCAGCCTCATATCTTTGTAATTAATGCATTTGTACTATGTTGGGATTCCCCCT